GCGGCAGGAATTATTGCTTAATTCTTAATTCGTTTGTTGCCTGCGGAGCCGGTTTGCTGCTCGCCCCACGAGCGAGGGGACGGGGACAGAACCGTTCCCACCTACCTGCAAACATGGTATGAAGCTTTTCCAGCACTTCTGCTTGGTCCAGCCATACATCAGAAACAAATACAAACATGGCATCTTCGTTTTCTTCCTGCAGCTGTTTTAGTTTTGCAGAAGCCTTCACTGAAGCTGAAGATGGCCCTCCAAAGAAGTTTATATTTCCATAGTAGGCTCTACATTATTAAAATATTGAGGCTAAGTCAGTTTGCTTCCCAAATCATTGCTAGTTTTGATTATGGCTCATTTGAACCTTTTGGATTATTATTATTACTATAAAAGATAGCTCAGATGGCATCTGTAATCATTTGGTGTTCCATGGACAAACCCATGAAGAGAAGTGGCAGCCATCCAGACACGAAACACTGGTGCTGCCCTGCCAGAATTTAACAGATTATAATATTTATATGTAATATTTATCCTGCGTTCTCTCCCATATCCATCCCCTGAGGAACATAGGCATCCCTTTTTCTTATTTCCATATAATAGTTGCCTAGTCTGATGATTCAAAATGGCATATTGTCACAATTATTAATAATATGCAGAACCCAATGGCTTTTGGGAGGGTTTTTCCCTGCTAAGACTGTGGGCTTTAGCTACACTCCAAGCGCGCAGGCGAGTCACAGCACGGCCAACGTTTTTAACATTGTATTTATCTTCAAGCATTGCAGGAGGCAAAAGATTAGCATATTTAATGTCACAGAAATCAAAACATAATTATGCTATTGCTTAAAAGTCATAACAAAATACATAGAGTGAGGCTGGCAAAAAATGAGGTTTATACCTAGTGGTAGCAGAAGGCTCAGTAGGCGGAAATCCAAACGCGTTCACATGAAAAACTTCATCTTCATACCAACCTAGGACATTTTTCAACAAAATACCCTTCAGTTTAGTGTGAATAACAGCACGTCCCAGACATTAGTCAGAGAGTTGGCAGCTGCTCTACAGGGCTAGTCTAGCTAGTCCCAGCCTCCATCAATCCCTCTCTTGTGACAGCACCAGCGTCTGCTGGTGAACCAGACCTGGGAAAACTCCACCTGAAAAACAGCCTGAGTGAGAAACTGGGGTATTTTTTCACCCTAGTCGTTTCTTGGAGTGGTTTTACTGGGCAGCCACACAAATAGGTCAATTCAGCTGAAGGAAAATGTAGGGGAACAGGAACCATTTCCACAAGCCTTGCCTTGGACAATGTCTAAATCACACTGCATCCTTTCTCAAGGACTGTGCCTTCTGTTAAAAGAAACGGGGATACTTGTCCCTGTTATCAGTCTTGCTTTTAGCTTCTATTTAGTTTATTCCACAAATTTTTAAGCACAAGCTACATTGTTAAAAATGCATACACCTGCCCAGATCCCACTGACAACACTGAAACACAACAGCCTGAGTGAGAAACGGGGGTATTTTTTCCCCCCAGTCATTTCTTGGAGTGGTTTTACTGGGCAGCCACACAAACAGCTCAATCCAGCTGAAGGGGAACAGGAACCACTTCCACAAGCCTTGCCTTGGACAAAGTCTAAATCAAACTGCATCCTTTCTCAAGGACTGTGCC